CGTACGTAGTCCGTATTGAAATCTCTAAAAGGTGTTATATTTAGAAATGGAGGGAGTACAAGAGTATTGTTTGAAGTTGATGATTTTTTTGTCAAATGTCCTTATGACCTACGAAGTTAGATACAGAAGGATAATGCCTTGTTGGTGCTGACCAGAAGATGCTTTCTTCAGGGTTACAGTTCGACTATATATCTGTAGTTCTGTACTAATGATGACTTTTAGTTATTTATTTGATATTGTTGAAAAAAACCTTGCAAGCAGGAAATCGCTGGCTGGTGGACGAGTCTCGTAGGCCATAATCTATATCACATAGCTGCTCATGCAGGGTCGTGAGTTGCTCTTGATGAAGCACCCATGTTTTAGTGTCAGGAAGAGAGACTTCATGCTCGGTGTTGTCCCCAGGGCCAGACATGAACTCTGATACCAAATTGGAACCGCCTATGGATCGGAGGGCTACTCCGTGGCTTGGAGGTGCTTGGGGGTCAATGGGTTGTGGACAGGGCGGCGGCGTCGCCGGCATAGTAACAGAAGATAGCGGGGATTAGAGATAGAAAACACAGATAGAGAAACTAGACTTTATTGATAATTTCTTGCCTCTAAGCTTACATGGGTGTGTCCTTTATATAGGACACGGACTAGTACTACTTTGACATACATTGGACTCCAATTGGAATCCGACTCAAACACTACCTTATCCGATCTGGAGATTACCAAAACAGATGCATCCTTCAGGACATCAAACTGCCCTTTTCTATCCACAGCTTAACCTGCCCCTGCTGCCCTGCGCCTTCCATAATGAATTCCCCACGTAACAAAATCATGCTAGTCGGTTGAGTTAATTGACAAGCAGGTACTTAGTTTCTTTATCGAAACTAATATGTCTGCTTCGTTCATTTCCTCATCAAACATTTGGTAAAGCAAGTCGCATTTGGGGACACATGCAAAAAATATGCGATCTGGTTTAGAACTACAGAAATGATAAATCCCAAACGTTCAGATTTTAAGTATGACAACCTGAACATTTTGCATGGCAACTTCAGCTGAGGCGAGGTGGCAAGTTTAGTCGGCAAACAAAATTGCCATGTTTGCCAACTAAACTTGCCACCTCATCTTAACTAAGGTTGTCATAAAAAATGCCGGGTTGCGATTCTTAAAATCCGAACGTTTGGAAATTATAGGGGTCCTAGAATTAGTTGTGCTTATGGTGTTTGATTAATGATTTCATTCTAGAATATTCCTTGTCAACTGAACACCCCATTGGATGTGGCTTGTGTTATGTATAGGCTGGAACGTTGTTTATTACCCTAGAATGAGTG